GCATTTACCAAGAGGAAAAACCGCAGGGATTGCAGTAGTTCTTGCAATCACCGTTGATGATGCTGTGCTTGTAATTAATAGTCTGAAAAGGCAGAAAATTGCATTAATCAAATGTTAAACACATCAAATAAATAAATTTCAATAATTTGTTTACCATTTTACAAACCGAATTACCAAGAAATAGAAACTCACCGCTTTGCGATACAGAAATAATAACCAACAGGGGTGCATTTTCTTGGTAAGCAACAGAAGCGCTCAGAGCAATCTGATCCACAATATTATTTTCTGAAAAATAAGACTTGAAAAGAGTTTTTAAACATGATTATCACATTATCTAATTAGCGCACACTATCGAGTTTATTTCTAGTAGAATATAATTGTATTATCTCAGACTTTTTTTCAATGTTTTCTAATATTCGTTCTTTTGGAATGCAAAAGCAACCATGCGCTCAATTTCTTGTGGGGAAATTTGGCCCCCATAAAGGACTTTCACCACGAAACAGCTACAAAAACAAAAACCTTTTCTACTGGTATACTGTGGTTTGAACCCAGGTGCTGCGGAGTGGAAGCGCGCACTGCTTACCACTACACCACAGCGGCCGACAGTTAACTTTGCTTTAGTAATATTGTTTTATCTTATAATTTTTAGTTTCGAGCTCTTTTATTGAATTCAATTGAATTTTTAATTTATGAGTTAGGGTTTGCTAGCTTCTTTTGTATTTTCTTGTGTAAGAATAAGTCTTTTGTTCACCCGCGCCGGTATCAGTTACATCGATACATGCTATTTCGAGAGCATTTGCGACATTTAATGAGATCAAACTGAAAGGGAGAGTGAAGCAGGTGGCATAAGTACCCTCCAAAGTGGCCCACTACACCACCTGTTCCGTTGTTTTGCTCTCCTTTACAGTGCATGTACACATGTATGTTTGTTCTTTTCTCCACACTTTTCAGGTAGTCTGGATGCTGGCGCTAGCATCGTTGGACATACGTACATACACCTACTGGTAAGTGAGAAGTCACAATTCAGCTAGTCATATAAACATACATCTACGTACATATCGATATTAGGAAGGGTCGTTAGCAAAAAAAAGGGAAGATTATTCTTTTGGAACGTGCGTTTGTGCGTATGTGCGTATGTGCACACATATTGAATGTACATACAAAAATACATTTGCTAAACATATATGTAAATGCACATTTAGATACAAAAAAAAATAGGAAAGCTTGAAAAAAAAGAAAAGGCAAGAATAATAGAAGTAGGAAGGGCGGAATAATAGTATACAATAGAATACAAAAGAAGAATAGAGGTTCGCAAATAAGGCAGTTGTAAAGCAGTAGCTATTAGAATTAAAGCACATAGGGTAATTAGTTAAAAATAATAATAATAATAAAGATCTGAAATTGTTTGTTGGTAGAAGACAGTTAGTATAAGAAATGTATTATTTATTAGGATTGATTTTTTTGTTGCTTATTAGAATAAATGTATCCATATAATAATGAAATTCCGTTCAGTAGAGTCTTATTATTTTTCATGGATTTCTAAAGTTTTTTTTTCAGGTTGGTGTGGGTGTTGCCATCGTGCGACGTAGAGGGGAAGTGGGTGTACAAAGACGAAATGACTGATTGACTAGGGTGACTGACTGACGACTGACGGACTAGGTCAGGCAAAGGGAACTTCGCGCGTTGACGACTGGAGCCACAGTGAAGTTCAAGGCTGAGCACATCTGTGCTTAAAAGGGGTGGGATGGCTCCACCTGACCCGGACAGGCCTTCTACTTTTTTTCATCTTTTCTTTAACATTGGCATGATAAATAAGTATTTGATTGTTGTAGCTGTGGCAAACAACCGCCCCCGCCCCCCCTTCCCCCCATTGGCCGTCGAGTTAGCCTGGGCAACAAGCATACCAACCTGCCACTTACCTCTGCCCCAACAGCCAGCTACACAACAATGGCGCCCAACGATGTCAATGAACATTAATTTTGGTTTAGTAATTTGTCTCTTATATTTTTTCTTTTTTCATTATTTTCTTTTCAATTGGACTGGTTAGGATTTTTATCATAGTAACGCGACTAAGGTTTTTACTTGGTTAGCTGTACCAGATAAAACATATATGTATGCAGGGGGACAGCAAAACTTCGCTGAACAGTGGTATCCAAAGGCAAGGATTGGGAGATTTTTAAATATATATTTTTTTCTTTTTGACTGAAAATTGGGGTTTAAGCTACCAAGCGTAGGATTAGACATCTTATGTATATTCGTGAGGTTTATCCGAAATTTTCAATGGGAATGTGGGATTCGAAAATCAACATTAAATAGTGGGGTAGCCGTATTTTGGTGCAAATAGCTGAAATATCGTTGTGCTGCACTATTTGAGGGGGTTAGCTGGCTCAGACAATGGACGGCGGTCAGACGGATCAAAAGCACCCACGATGACCTCTGCCGAGGGCAACACCAAACACACACCAACAAATGAATTGAATTTATTAATTTACACATTTATATACATAAACATATATACATTTTTTTAGTTTCCTTGGTGAAATATTTTTTCACTTACATCCTTTATTTTTTTATCATTAAACTTTTTATTTTTTTTTTATTTATGTATTCACTTTTTATGTTTATACGAATAAACCTATTTTTAATTAAAATTCTACATATCGAGGGCTTATATTCAATACCATCTATATGAAAAAACTCAATTTTTCAGGAGAGCATAAAAACTCTTTTGACAGCTATTTTTAAAAGTGTTAATAATTTGAAGTACCCACGCATGTCTTAAAAATTCACGCTATATATTAAAACTAGGATTTTACTTTTAATTCATGTTATTTTAGTTTAAAGATCAGATAGAGGTTTTGCAATTCGAATTGTAACTATTTATGTAAAAAAAATGTGCTGATAGCGGGTTTGGCAGAATAATGAAAAGGTCAATATTTAGATGTAAATGTTATGTTAAACTAAGATTTTAACACATAAATCATTGGTCTGCAAACTCGTTCCCTTCTATTCCGACGTGCCCAGGTAACCGCATAATTTTAATGGTGTTTTTGTGTCGAAAGAGTATTTCACGTGATTTCGATATTATATGAGAATCATTAGCACTGTGAAAGAGGGCTTCGATGGCTGATTAACTGTCCGTGCACATGAGGAAATTTCCTTCGTTTTTAGAGGCGAAAGGTACAGCTTCTAGCATTTGTAGATGCCGAGCAGTACGCGGGTAAAGCACCGACGACAATTGTAAAACCAAGCCCTTTTGTTACCGCAAAAGAAGAGCCGGTATCATATCTGGAACCGTCTGTGAAAATATGCTCCCAGGTCATTTATGAGTATAGAACTGGGAAAATGCCCTTGCGGTAGAGTTTTTACTTTAGTAGGCATCGGAGTAGATATTATGTCCAAATCTTTAATGTAGCTTAATATATGAAATAAAGCTGATTGCTTGCTTCATCGGTTTTTTGGTGAAAGCAGGATTCGACGTGATAGAATAAAGTCTCATTTCTGCAGTTAACAATCTTTGGGATGAGCATCTTTGTGTTGTATTTTACCCCATGGTTATGATTCTTCTGACTGCTGCATGGTAGTGTCCGTAAATTACGAGTCCAAAGTAAATTTTTCCTAATATAAAAGCCCTAATTACATTTACTAGTGTAGTTATATGAACTAAAGAATACTTGGATGATAAAAACTTTATAATATTAAGTCTAGCAATTAAGCTTAATCTAACATTATGACAGTGCTGCTTAAAAGTAAGTTCATTGTCAAAAATTATTTCCAATATTTTCAATGTGTCAGTATAGTGGATAGAGGTGTCATACACGGAGAGGGTTGGATGTATACATTTGTGTTTTCTGCATATGAGAAAAAACCGAAATCTTAGCTCCTGAAGATTTGGACCAATTGCGGCAAGTCCTTCGTCATAGAAAAAATATAATGGAGCTAACTTTCCCAAAGGCTATATAATAAAATAACCGAAAGTAGTGATCCTTGTGGGACACCATTAAAGAGAGGAACAGTTTTTGAATAACAGTTATTGACCCGAACAGCGAACTTCCGGTTGTAAAGGAAAGACTTAACAACATTGTTCATCCTCTCACCATTTTTCCAGCATAATACTTTAGATATGCAGGGGAGGAGGGAAATGGGTATGTAGTTAGAAACTAATGAATTGTTTCTATTTAGTTTGGAAATAGGAGTAATAATAGCAGTTTTCCACTCTTGGTGACCCTTGAGATAGAATGGAGTAATGGACTACATGACTCTATATTTGACGGGATATGGAAGATTTTTTTGTTGCATCAAATTTGGTTTCAGTTGGACAGATATATTTATTTAAGATATGAGGGTGTACACGTAAGACTTTAAGTCTTTTAGAATACATCAATAGATGGAAATAACAAAATTAAAGGCTTATTTAAAATTTGAAGCAAACTTAAATCTAACAATAAATAGTTATAACTAATTTTAAAGTTTGAGGTACACCCAAGATCAAAAATGAGAAAACAGAGAGATCGAGAAGAGAAGAAAGGAGAGAAGAGAGTTCAATCGCAATCACATCATATTTACCGTGTTAAAATAACCGTGAATTACCTTTTTGTAGCTACCCCCAACCAAAGCACTTTTGACAGATTCTGGAATAGAATTCCAGAGCCTCACAGCATTAATGGAAAATAGCCTTGACGAAGACAAATAGGTGTATTTAGGGATAACCAGAGTTTGATGTCTATTTGACCTAGTTAATTGTAGTTTATCATAAAGGTTTTTGGGAGTTTTATATTTGATGAGCTTGAACATAAATATACAATTTCTTGCCGCAAGGTAATAAAAAATACCACATCCAAGAATTTTAGATTTCCACAAAGATATGTGATCATATCTTTTGAGGCCATAGACGTAACGCGTAACATTGTTAAACAAAACATCAATCTTGTGAGACGAAACGGAATCAAGTTTGCTATACACAAGCCCACAGTACGTGATATGAGATACAGAAAGTTGAACAGCAAGCCTTCTTCTTGTCTCCAGAGGTGTAAACGACGCTGACATTTTTAACCTACGCAAAACAACATAGACACTGCTAACAACTTTATTAATGTGGTCAGAATAAGTCAACATGGAATTCACAACAAAGCCTAAATTTTTTATCTTGTCCGTAAACATTAATACGCTATTGCCAATAGTAAGTTTCGGAATATTCTCCAAATGTACCACACTGTTACTGATGGGCAACACATAGGACCTAGCAGCATTCAGACAAAGACAATTATCATTGGCCCATTGCGAAATTGCAGACAAATCACTGTTTATTTTGAAACACAAGTCCTCCACAAGACCAACACGACTTTACAAATACAACTGAATGTCATCAGCATAAGCGTGGACATTCACATACTGACAAATGAGAATACATCGTTGACAAGAAGAGTAAACAAGAGGGGACCGAGAACAGAGCCTTGCGGAACACCGGAGACAACAATACTAGACGCAGACGAGGTAGCCTTGCAAGTCACCTTCTGAGTTCTTCCTACTAGGTAGCTGGCCATAAGCTTTACAGAGCTATCAGAGAATCCAAAATAATGTTTAAGCTTTTTACAAAGAAGGTCGTGACTTACCATGTCAAAGGCTTTAGAAAAATCCAGAAGGCAGAGAAGTGTCAGATAGCCATTATCAAACTGTACCCTAATATCATCAGTTATTTTTAACATAGCCGTGGCGCAGCTATGCTTAGCTCTAAACCCTGACTGCAATGGAGATAACAGATTGTTTCGTTGGACAAATGTGGAGATTTGTGCTGCCATTAGGGACTCGCACACTTTAGAAAAGGCTGGCAGTATGCTTATCGGTCTATAGTCACTTGGATCGGTGGCAATATTCTTCTTAGCAACAGGAAATATGCCGTTGTGAATCAGTGATTTATGATATGTGTTAGAGTTCCCAAAATAAATGGCAGCACAAGTTTTACAAACGTCAATGATATCCCATCATTGCCGATTGCGTTGGACTAAATCGCCATAAGAGATCTTAAAACATCAGCCTCTGTTACTCCATCGAATTGAAATTTTTCTTCTAACGCAAAATTATTAACTAAATTTGGGAATGGAGCGCTATAGCTGTTACTTTCGCTAGTAAAATATTTATTAATACATTTGGGTCACTTTTACATTCAGTTCTAAGTTCTCCATGTACATTCAAGGTAGAATTGCAATAGAATCGCTTTGCATTTCTTATAATGGCAGTAGCTTTATTTCTGGCAGATTTGTACTGTGTCCAAACAAAGTCAGTTCTGGTTCTCCTCCATTTACTATAAAGCTTTTTACGTGCTTTTATAGCTGAGCTAACTCTTGTATTGTACCAAGGGCAAGCGCTGTTTATGGTCCGCACGGTACGAAGCGGGACATGGTCGTCGAATAGTTTGCCAGATTTTTATTTAGGAAGTCAAGTTTTGCATCTACACTCTCAATGAACCAACAGTTATTCCAGTTAACATTTAACAAACTGACATGCGGATTACTAACATTAACAGACTTCAAATCACGATACATAAAAGTAACACTATCAGCGGGACTGTTAAACGACACATCTAATGTACGAAATATAAGGTCATGGTCCGAAATAAAAAACATTGGTCAAATTTTAGAATATGGTCAATATTAGAGACAATAACAAGGTACAGCAGGCTAGGATTTGAGTTGTTGTCGTATCTTGTTGGTACTAATCTGTTAACAACAGCAAGACCTGCAGCAGATACATGGTCAAGTAGTTTAACGGCATAGCAAACTCCTAAAAGAAGGTTTACATTAAAGTCACCACATATAACATAACGCTCATACTCAATCAAAAACATAGATAGCTCAACAAAAAACGAGTCTAACATGCAACACCTATTAGGATTATATACACAGGACACTAGTATTTTTGTGACATTATCTGAGACTTCCGCAATGATGAATTCCGTATCAGAATCATTTGATACAGTTAGAGGTTTAATTTTTAGGGTCGATTTGCAACAAATTGCAACACCACTTCCTTTTTTGGTCTATCTGTCGTGGCGTATAACATTAAAATGTGAGATACCATAATAAAAGTCAGTAAAGTTTGGATTAAACCACGTTTCTGAAACACAGATGACATCATTCCCCGATTCTCCAAATTTATGTCTAACATAGTCCAATTTATCACCATTAAGACATCGAGCATTAAAATGCACCACGTTAAGGCCATTTGACTGTTGGCATAAAATATCTATTAAAATTTTTTGGTTATCATTAATGCTGGGGGCTGATTTCCTAGTGGGATTTAAATGGCACACACTGAGACAGAAAGGGGTTAACTACAAATAGCATCAAGCACAAGAAATATACAACACAGCAAAAGCACAAGTGATTGCAATTAAATACATTAAACGAAACAGGAGGGTAATATACGAACAGTTGAGAAAGGTAAACAAGCAATAGAAATAATCTGAGATACATAAGTAAAAAAGTAAACAAATAATAAATAGAGAGAATACGGCAAAGAGAGAAAAAGAAAAAACATTTATGTATTTGGACATACATAAAATACATACTTAAGTGTAATTGTTCTTATATTCTAGGGCCGATAAGAGCGTTAACCTCGGCTCTGCTGCTCACTAATCTGGGCTCTTCGCCAGCCTTTAGCCGCACAAATATTCTCCCACGGATGGAAAACGCCGATGCCAATCGTTTACTTCGCCTTAACTCTGATGATATGTCATTATTTCTCGTTGAGTTTTTGAGAGAATCATGCAAATAAATATTGGCGTAACCCGGCAGCTCAATATCAGAAAGAGCAAGCGATCTCTTTTTATTTTTGCAAAACAAAGAGACAGATCGTAAGAGTCGATTGCGGTCATTTGCAGAGAAAAGCTTCACAACAATAGGACAAGCGCTGCTGCTATTTTGTCCATTGCCTTTCACGCTTCGCAGACGAAAAACGTCACGTAAAGGTGGAGGTTTGTCCTGAGCTACACTACAAACCTTTGCAAATAATTCAAGTAAACACTCACCAGCTGCTTGGGGGATCCCGTTAATAATAAGATCCGTAGCGACTGCACTGCTTTCAAGAGCAGTGAGCTGAGCCTTGGTAGCAATAAGCTCGGAGCGTAAAGTGAGAACATCAGCGCATGCATTCTCAACCGCAGTGACTCTCTTCTCAGTCAACTCAGCAATTATAGCATCTCTCTGCTCTTCCAATTTCTACTCCATCCTATCGAACGCAGTTGTTGCCGGTGTGAGGGGAGTTTTAGGGGGAGATGTAGGCTTTCTCGTTGGATTTATTTTTTGTTGATCCCATTACGTAGTAGATAAAACGCTGAGAAAAAACGAGTGAACCAGTGTATGTGTCGATATCAGCCACAGAAGTACGCACGCACGTCGGTAGAGAAGCAATATAGGCAAATTTTCGCATTAGGTAGAACTAGTTTAGCCTGGGCAAAACTATTTTGACCTAAGATCGGATTTTACCGGTAACATATACATACATACAAACATAGGCACATGTAACTTACCTGCCACAAAAAATGTTAGTAAAAACAATTTTCCAGCAAAATTGTGTAGATAGAGGATTTTGCTCTTATAACAAAATGTTATTGCAGATAGAGGAATTTTGAAAATGAGAATATAATACCATTAAAGCATGATGCAATAATGAAAGGTGTTGTACGTTGTGACAGCTCGAAATCGAACTACCTTAGGTCAATATTGTATTTTGGAAGTACAAGATAAACGGGAATAAAAAAAAGCCTTTTAGTTGAAAAAGTACTAAATTGTATGCCTTCTCAACAGCGTTCCAATTATCAGAATAGGTATATACATATATGGCTTGGTAGTCTCATAAAATTGTAGATAATTAAAATAATAAAATTAGGCGTGTTTTTATTCACAGGAATATGATAATATGCTTAAAATTTTCGAGCTGATGAATACCCAGCTAGAACAGTATGGCTTATATAATTCCTTTTATGAGCCGTATCACTAAGAAAATTATCCCTTATGAATTTGAAATGTGTCCCTTATATTGTACAGGCCAAAAAGAGGAATTCATTTACGTGTGATCTTTTGTCCCCCTCTTTCATATAGGCTTCTTGTGCGCATATATCAGGTTTCATAGCTGTTGACCATACCAATAATGCCTCATGCTCAGTTTTACTTGATCAATTCGTGTTCTCGAGAAAAAAAA